ACTGACAGTGAGGCTACCAATTGACCCCTCCAACTATCAACATCACTCACTCACACACACACAACACTTTTATACTAAGCAATGTGGGTGAAATGCCTTGTCTAATGGCACTATGACTGTTTTTGCAACTGGCGCCCCACAGTGGCATCTGATTTTCCCAGCTGTCTCCATCCAATTACTACCCAGGCCCTACCCTGCTTAGCTTCTAACGAGATCAGGCTTTGACAAGGAGGGTTGGCCATGCACTATCAATTATGTAAAAAATGAACCTTACATCTTTTCTGTGACTTGGTCCTGAAATGAGTGAGCTGGGATCCAGTTGGAGCCTTTGAGAAAAATCGGTTTCTCATTGATCCGAAAGTAGAAACTGAATCCTGGATTGTCGGGTATAGGACCCTGGACCAGTTCAACACTGCGGAAATACACCTGGAAGGAAGGGAAGATTTGATCAAATATAAAGTGCACTGTTGCATAAAATAACCTCACCTGGTTAACAACTAGGGGTGAGGAAATATATTGGTATCTATAAAATTTAACTGATGTTTGGCACTGATGAAGTTGTTTGAAGGATGAAGGATTTTATTAATATCAAAATCAGTAAGTATTGATTCTGGGCCACAGAAGACAAAAAAAAATCTATATTGGATTGTGACCAGCGATTTGAAAATACAAGTGTGTATTCTCAGGAAACAAAGGAACATTCATCAGACTATTTTATGATCCAGTTTAAATATATTACCTTTGTTATTTCATCCAGTATTTTCTCTTGTTTCAGAGAACCTGTAATGGCAACCGAGTAAAAAGGTTGTTCTCCATGTCCTCGAGGCCACCACAGCTTCACCTTGCTTTCCTAGGAGAGAAGATAGACATTAAAACTCGAATGGTGCAAAGATGTAGAACCAATAATTAAACATGAGGTTTGTACCGGGTTTATGTGTAAGGTAAATTTGACTTTGCTTCTCCCTGTTACAAACTGGATCTTATGTGTCTCCACTGACTGCAGCTCTGGTATGGACAAAGTCACTTCCACATTGTCCACTGTGTAAACAGCATCAACGATCAACTCCACCTCAACAATCCACTGAGACACACTTGAATCTAAGAAAAGAAACATATGTTAATTCAGTGGAATAAATGTTTATAGGTAAGAAAAGATGAGTTCACACTAAAAACACATGAAGACTACTACAATGGGAGCTCCTGGAGCTCAATCTGGACTAGAACAGGACTAAACCTACTAAGTCTATATCAGGACTAAACAGGGCTCAAACCAGGGCATGTGTGAACGTGTTTTGAAACTAGTAGAAGGAACAGAGACTATCTGCAAAACACATTTTTCCTTTAAGCCTTCCTCTGTGTGGTATCATTTCAGAAAATCTGATGTTTCCCAGAAAAAAACATGGATTTTCATAATAATTTACATCAGATGCCCGTTCATACTAAAAAGAACAATTGTTATTTTTCATAGTTATTGTTTATTTCACCTATCACTTACAAATATTATTTTCACAATATTATATATATATTTGTTATTTATCTCAATATCTTTTGATTGGGTAAAAATCCTTAGTCAATATTAGGGAGTCAAGAACGAAGTCTAGCTACAGCTGCTCTTTAGACATGTCATTTGAACACTTCAACATACTATAAAGAGGAACAGCCGAAACCTGGACAATCAGAAACTGGTCAAAGGCCTCGAGACGAACCCCCTTCCAGAGTCCCATCGTGGGGAAAGATGGGCCCCAGTCCCAGCTGAAGGAGCACTGCTCCTGGAGACATCACAAAAATTACCATCACTTACTATGTTAATACTATATTGTGTGCAAATATGTCAACTGCACTACAGCAGGACTAAACAAGGATTAAAGCAGGTTTGAAGCTTAATATATAACAAAGACAACAACAGGAAAATGTGAGGATTAAGAAGAATTAAAGTTATAACATTTTATCTCAAACTCAAATGAATCAAGATGTACTATGTATCTACTACGTGGAATTTACAAAGCTGCAGAGTCTGCAGATCTTTTCTTATAAAATACTTAAGAAAATAAAATACTATACTTATATACTATATGTATCATGTGTTAGCCTAGGCTATAAACATTGTGATACCTGCATCAAATAACTGAACTGTTAATCTATGTTTGTTGTATCTGTACCTGTTAAAATAAACATAAATGAATAAATAAATATTACATGCCTTTCTAATAAAATTAACATGGCACTGCCCCTTTTGCACATTTGGGGGACACTCAGGGGGGACTCTGTAGGATGACTGCTTCCTCCGTTCTTTGGCGTAAAGAACCGGAGACGTCAAACTCACTTCAAGCACATTGTCTTTGTCTTTAAGCATTCCTCTGACAGAAAAGTCCTATCAGAAAACGTACAGAAAATTAATTTAAGAACAAGTTATGTAAAATATATTTATAAAATGTTCATTCACGTACATATCTTTGAAACATGTTGTCTGTATTTCCCAGAGTAAGGCCATTTAGTGAAATTGTGGATACTGTATCAATACCGTCAAAGATAAGCAGCAACTTATTTTTATCCCTGTTAAAATAAAATAAATTTCAGACCAGAGAACTTAGGTGGAGATTGTGCAGCAAAGAAAAATGCAAGAGACAGAGCTGAAGGTGGGTTCTTAGTGATTAAAGGTGCACTATGTAACTTTTCTGGAGCTTCCGCCACCTGCTCATCTTGGAATGTTTCACAGTATAGCATTAAACGCATGCACCTTCAGCAAATATAATTCTGAGTTTTTATTGTTAAAAAAACATGCATATTCTTACAGTGAGCAGGGTCGCTTCTTCAGAGATCTGACAGTAATTTGGTCTGATGGCGTGTCTCCATGGTGAAAAATACAGTTAATGCCTTATGGAAACATTTTAGGCAATAAAATAATCTTTGAAGACAAGCATGTGGCGCACCATTGACCAGAAAAGTTGCACATTGCAGCTTTAAATGCAGAGACGGATGATGACACCGGAATATTTAGATAAGTTTTTAGTGATACCAACATTGCACAGACCTGAAAGTAGAATTGAGAGAAAAGGAAGTGCTGTAGGTCCAGTTTTCCAAAGCAACCCACTGATAAACCAAATCATTGAATCTGTAATAAGGTTCCTGAAACAAACAAGAATCACACATTATATAGTCAGTGATGGGAAATGTATTATTGAATACTGAAAACACCAATAAATAAAATATATTTTGTAATGCATTCCAATATATGGTGCAATTAGAGTACTATATTCTAAATACTTGGGATACATTTACTTTATGAGTTGCATTATATTATAGTCTAAAAACAAATATTACAATGTGTTTATTTATTCATTTCAACACTAACAATGGAATGGCTCAAACACTGAGCAGTTTTGAGCTCAGTTTTTAACATCACATCATGAGATTTTAACCAAATAAGAAGGGCAGCATGTGCAGTTCAAAGGACACAAGTAAGGGACTGTTGGATTATGTGAAATGAACTGAAGAGGTAGCTACGGATATTTGAGATGCTACAGGCTTTTTACATGATATGTGACAGCAAACATGGCAGAAGACCTTCAGAATAAATACTTTGAGGAATGAACCATTTTGTCATCAACCAAAACAACAGAGAGGAGTAAGAGCGAAGCTTCTCCTATTGTGTTCACCTGGCTCCCACTGGACACTGCTGTGATGCTGCAGAACTGTTAAACTGCACTGAGACATTTGACTGAGACAAAGGAGACTGAAGTGCAGTGTAAATGTTGCTGCTGCAAAACTTCCCAAGATCAATGAAGTCTCTCTGATATAATTACAAACTATTTAATTTTGTTATTATGCATTAATTTATGCCTAATTACAGATGAAAAATGACGCATGCACACTGGAAGACCTGTTTTCTTGATTCTCACTAAGATAATACTAATATCTACAGTAAAGGTACAGCAAAGCAAAAGACGCACATGGTGGCACTTGAAATGATGTAACATTTGATGCTACTGACATTTTCTGTGTTGCTTTGTCACATTATGAATTGTAAGTGAAATGTGGCCCAGTTCTCCTAAAGTCTCTGACCTGGATGAGCCCTTGTTGCTGGAGAGCGGTGTGCGCACATCCGGGGACCCGTGCGCCCAAATTCAGAGATCCGTTTGAATTTCGCAGCCCCCATTTACCGTTCAGAGAGAGGCCACTACCGCACACACGAGCAAAGCAGAAAAACAACGAGACACTGACAAAGAGCTCTACGAATAAAGCCATGATCCACGAAGAAGAGTGAGTCGCGGTAATGAACTTCCTCAGCAGTTAGTTATTTACATGAAGGCATTTCCGCCCACGTGATCACAGCATGACAGTCAGCTGATCTATAGATAAGAATAAAAAACCTGAAGGTGTACATTACAATGTAACTTTTCTGGCGCAGCTGCTTTTCTCCATAGGGCGTTACTGGTTTGCCTGGTCTTTGACTTGTTAATATTATACATTTAGTGCCTTATTGTGGAATATTTCAGGCAACATTTCCATGGAGACAAGACCAGGAAACTTTTCACTTTTTAGGACCCCTCCCCATCAAATACATTTCTGTATTCTTATTTACACAATGTACTTAAAAATATTATGTGAAAACCTGCTTACAAAATTTTGTCAGTGGGCATTAAAAATAATCAAAATTCATCCAATAAAAAGGAATATTCATAAGTTATCTTAAATTCCCTACAATATCACTAACAATACCTACAGCCAATATTTTTCTGTCATCACTCAAACAAACACAAAACACAAGACGACCACCATTTCTGGTTTTAAGTAACTTTATTGAATGGAAACTAAAAAGAACAGAGCCATGAGTTGAGTATCAACCATCAGCTTTGCATCATAAGGGCTACAAGAAGACAGTGTTCAAGTGGGCGTAGACCTAAGAGCTCCCTCTACTGGCTTCTTCTATAATAATAAAAAACAAAAAACAATTGTATTTGAAGGGGAATGTGTCAAACTCCTCTGCATTACAACCCACTGTATTTGCAGACACTTTCAATATAATAGCCTAACTTTATTAACATGCATAAAATACAACAATGATGTTTTATATTGGCTTCCTTAACATTAATATATTGCTGTGCTTCTCTGTACACTTGATAGTGAATTAGACATTTTCTTTTTACGTTTGTCATGTCATGTGTGTATTGCTATGCTAATGATAATAAACTTGATGTAGCTTTATATAGAAGAGGCCTAGAACCAGTCAACCAAAAAACCTTAAGAGCATTGAATATTTATTAATTTTTAGACCACAACTTTAAAAATTTCAAGTTTAGAAAAATCACTCAAGTGCTCTGTACATCCAACCCACCATTAAGAAACCAATGCATGCTCAAAACTTCAGATTAAATGGTGATTTTGGGGACACCATTTAAAACTGGCACAAGTCCTATATAGAGAAAACACCATCTTCTTATGAGCGCTGCAGGTGGAGAGGACAGGGGTAAAATGCTTTGATTATTAACAAAATAAAGAAAAAAAGTCTAAGTGAAAAAGAAAACTGAATTTTTTCAAATCTGAACCAGCAATTGTAATGTGTCCAGCTTCAGAAATGGTCCCATCACATCGCATACTTTTGTGTCCATTCTTTTGCAGTTTTGCAGTATCTGAAAAAGAAAAAAACACAACATTAAAGTGTTTAACAAGTCTTCTTTATAAAAGACATAATTCACATGTATTTAAATTCATGCCGTTAGTCTAAAAGTTCATGCACAAAACTGCATCAACTTTTTACCCACTTAGTACCACTCTGAAAAGGCAGGATAACAGGTTGCGTTCAGTCAGAAATGTATTTTTTTTTTTTTATTAATTAATTTATTTTTAGAAGATATGTCCAACTTATTAGCAAGTGTCTCCACAAACCTGCCATGTTTTCATCTTGTAGCTGATAACTAATACTGATAATCACATCTTCAGCATTGAAAACTGTACCATTTTAGTACTTACATAGTACTTGCAGCCTGTTAAGCCTCTGGCATATAAGGCGGCCAACTTTCTGAAGCAATTGTAAAGAAAATTTCACTATTGTTTTGAGGCTGCATCAATCAACTTTCAGTTTTGACACAGATCGATACTATAAACAGAGTCTAGTCTCTTCAAATAGAGACTACAGACAATTACATCAGTTTCCATGCCCTGCCAGGATATCAGCTGAATGAATATTTGGAAGCAAAGCCAATGTCCAATCTAGCAAATTTCTTTGGATTGCCAATTTTGCTCAATTCAGACTGAAATTGTAAATACTGGGCCTATCCACACGAGAAGATATTAACCAAAATCAAATTCTACAACTTTGTGATGTCACATGAACGCGACCCATTCTGTGCTCAGAATATGTTTCAGAGTCAAGATGAAACTTACAACCATTTTAATGAACAAAACAAGACAAGTCATTAACCCATATACATTTTCTTAGCTATGCACAAGTAAAGGGTAAGAGTTTGGTTCACACATTGAAGTACCACACAGCAAATTAGTTTTAAGATGACTGATATTACATACTCCTACTTTTATATTAATCATTAAAAAAAAAAAAAAATCCAACAATACTACTCAGACACCTGCCCCACAAAACTACATACCTTCTGTAGTCTTGGGAACCACAATTACTTAAAAGAAAAACATTCCCCACCAAAACATGCACAAGCCCAGTGCAGTTTTATTCAACAAGTGCCATTTTGTTCTTGATGATAATGAAGTTGCAATCACCATTACAAACAGCAAACTGATTTAACATTCACCACCAAAATGGACAAAACATTTTCTACAACTACTTTAATAATGGGAAACCAAACGTTGCATTCAAGATGTCCAATAAGTGCTTTAAAAAAAAAAATTTAAAAAAAGTAAAAAAAAAAAAAACTACAGACAAATCAAGGGTCTGTTTCACAAAGGAGGCTCAACAAACTCTGAGTTAATTATTAACTAGTTAAAAGTCTGATTAGACTCGAGTTAATTCAAGGGTTGTGGAGGAAAAAAAATCCATCCATAAAGCCAAAAAATAAAAAATAAATAAATAAAAAAAAAAGAGGGGGAGGAATTCATCATGACAACTGAAAACCAAGAGTTTGCCATTTAAGTCAACTGACAGGACACAAACATGAACTCACTTTTGGTAAAATTCTACCTAAACTTTCTCAGAATGGAAGCTAATCTGCTGCATTTGATCCATCCTATTCCTCCACGCAGCCCATTACCTGGACCCATCTCCAGATCTCGAGTCTTGTGCATGTTTTCATTTTATCGGGGAGACCCAATCCAGAAGACAAACGCTTCAAGTTTTATATTCCTCACTTTTCTAATACATTCCTGACATCCTAATTATTTAAATCGGCAATGAGTTTATGAGCTTTTTCACGATTGAGGATAGGACGGAGATAAGACCCTTTACCAAATGAGAACTGTGCAGGCCTCCATCAGGCCGACTACCTCAGAGTTGGGATTAAACCTGCTTTGTAAAACACGACCCCACCGCTTCTTACCTTATGTGGCATACTTGTTAGTCCAGTCCCGAGCTAATTTATTGTACCTGACAGAGTGAAATCAGGATTATCTTAACGGGCTCATTTTAAGTCGACGTACAAAACTAGCCCAAAGCAACCACAGTAAAGCACTAGATGTAGAGTAAATTTAAAGGTAAAAAGAAGGAGCTTGTTGAGAAGGCCGTACCTGGGGTTATCAGATTTGTAGATTCGTGCAATCTCTGGCACTAGGGGGTCATCTGGGTTGGGATCAGTCAGGAGTGAGCAAATGGACAGAAGAACTGAAAAAGAAAATAGAAAACATTTTAGTTTTCTATTGAGCGATAGCTTTAGTGCACAGACGGGCTCAAACAGCAGACTGACACATAACCGAAAATGCTATAACCTTTTATAGAAACAGGTAGGGCAAGTGCCACTACCATTAACAAAGCATTATCCCTTTTGCCAAACTACTGTGCCAGGCCAATGAGATATTCAAAAGCAGCTGGCCATGTTAACATACACACCTATACCTGATTACATGATTGCTCAACCTTTAAGATCATTTAAATGACATAAAAACTGGAAAGTTTAGAGTTTTATCAGAGGGACCACTGTCATTTTAAGTCCTATAACTTAAAAAAAAAAATCAAAATAAATTCGATTTTGAGTGTTCATGTCTTAGATATTTGTTGTAACTTCAAACTGTTGCTAATGTGTGAAAATCAAAAACTCATTCATAAAAAAGGGACAATGGAAGAGTTTGCTCTGCTTGCATTATGTGATCACATTCACTCCAGGTTAAGTTAAAACATCAGGAATTCTCCAAAGGCTCTAACATTAAATACAATGCCATGGCTGAAATCAGTATGCAGTAAGGCAATAAGGACCCACACTGTAGGCTCATGGTGTCCTAAGTTCAGGTGTGATGTGATGTAGTAATAGTTCCAATTTAAACTAGCAGGAGCACAGTGATACAGCCTTTGCCTTCAAAAACAGACCGAGTATATTCAGTCCAAGTATTGTATGGGTTCCGTGGTTTTGCACCAGCAATTGTAAAAACTTATAGATTATTCTCCGCTGAAACCAAATATGGACAGTTGCAATTAGCAAAACGCAAAGGCTACAATCAGGCAATAAGATGTTCTCTGCCTGATGGATTGAATTCAATATTGCATAGCACCAACATCAGATCATGTAAAAATTTAAATACACATATTTTAATATTTATCATTAAATTACATATCTTTTATAAATGTATTGGCATGTTTAATTCATAGCATATTTAAATAATTTACAGAGTCATTTAAAGTCATTATCTGGAACACATTCAGACTATGCTTACCTTTAGAAATAGTAAGTGCAGGAGACCACTGTGATCTGAGAATATCCAGACAGATACTGCCGTTACTGTTAATATTTGGGTGGTAAATTCTTGTTGTAAAAGCCACCTGGAAAAAAAAAATAGAAACAACCAGAAAGACAACATGAAGCTCAAATATGATTAAAGTCAAGTCACTGTAGTTCAGAGTGATGGGACAGGTGACTACACACAGGAGGAATGAGCGGTATCATGACAGTCACGTGGCACAACAGGAGTCAGGTTTCATACACACTAACAGAACATTCCCAGAAAAGACAAGAGTGGAATAACGCAATCTCAGTACTCTAGGATTATCCAAAAAAAGAGGTAGACTGCCCTCAAAGGTCTAATTTTGATCCCAAGAACGGCTTTTGCCATTTCTCTGTACTGGGCTACTCTGTGCACGTACAGTCTAGCCCTTTCAATGCTGAGGTCTAAACATTCTGTTCAATTGTCAAAGTTGATAAATTGGGCCAAAAATCACAAATCACCATAAGTGAGTGCAAGTCCTAAATTGTTAAAAATAACTCCAAAGCACATCAATCACTCAAATAATTTCCAAGATTTTACATAGGGGTAGCATATTCCTTGTAAACACAACAAATGTGTCAGACTATGATTTTCTGTTCGGTTCAGATTAATTACTACTTAAAACATTACATATATATACATATATATATATATATACAGTACACCAGGTTTGTTTTTGAAATGTGTACACCTGCACGTGAGCGCTGGTTGTACTCGACAGGTGAGTCAGTTCAGCCTTTACATAACACAGGGCTGTCATAAGGAAGACATGGCTTAAAGAAAGTGAAGTGCGCATCATGGATTTCTGGAAGCTCCAATAAAATGTGGCCATAAATACTAATACAACTCACATATCAGGCAAACTGTGGCTGTAAAAAGATGCCTTAGTTAGGTTTCAGTTTTGACTTGCAATGCCTATTGATGTTAATACATCTAGCCACAATGCAATACAATACAACAGAATATGAATATCAAGATCAATATAAATTGACAATAGAATACATTTAAATGAATATATGTAATGTAGGATTTGATGCCAGGTTTAAACTCAAAGGGTCAGCATGTATTTTCAATGTGGTACTTGCAGACTGTTATACCAACTATAGTGTGATTTGATAGTCAACTCAATATGCAATCTAGATTCAATTGACACACTGTGCATGCCCACTTTAAAACAAATACATTTTCCCTGAAGTAAGTAGTGATGGTACGTAAAAATGTGCGTAGTCTAGATTTTAGCAGTTCTTCGTACCTTGGGTGGTTTGAAGGGGTAGTCTGTGGGAAAATGAATTGTCAAGAAGAATACGCCTCCCGAATATGGACTGTCTGCCTGCAGAATGGAAAGAAACATTTGCATCATTTATATAATACACTCAAAACATTTACATAATTTAAACAAGTTGAAGCTTTAACAAATTATATTTTGATAAAGGTTTTAAATTAAATTTCAAATGATACAGTCTGTTAAGGGTGATTAAATATACTTACAGGCCCCATGATTGTGGCTTGCCAGTGAAACACTGTGGGCAAAAAGTAAATAGTATTAGACAAAAAACTGGGGTCAACAATCTTTATGCTCATTTGGCAAAAGGTAGTAGTTGCAGCACTAAAATGATTTTTAAAAATCAAGATAACTTGAGATATTAAGAATAGTGCGAAAAAAGTTGTTTAGGAAAACTACAATGGACATACATTTTCTGTCTTATGACTATAAAAACTACCAGGTTTACCCTTTGACAAATTAAACACTTACTGTCATCTCCGACTGGACCAGCAGAGCACTGTGCTGGAGGATCACGACCCAAGTCGCTGAGCTCCTGCAAAAAATGATGACAAGATATCCATGTTTTTATAAATCAGTAAAAAGTTGTTCACCAACGTTTATTATTATGCAACACTATTGTTTGGAGGTTGTCACATTTCTGGTTTTACAGCATGTCTTAATAAATTTGACAGAAGCACAATTTGCTGAGAGACAACAAAAAACTTCTGATTTTCTGTCATTTCTCAATCATATTGTAAATAACAAGCACAGCATATCTAAACTATATTTAAAAAATCCCACAATATCACATATTTGTAAAACATACATTTAACTTTTTCAGTTAAAACAGGTGAAGACAAAGTATTCTCGCTTGTTGGAGGCGATGACAATAAACAGGTTTTAATGGGTCAGTTGTTCCTCATCAGCAGCAGCCAAACACAACAAAGCCTGGGTCAGAGCTTCTGTCCACCTCTCCAAATGTAGGCCCCTTTAATAAAACTCGAAACTACTATCGCATTACACCGTCTTCATTGATAACTTTTGACCCATTTTTGGTTTCGGTTTCCTTAATTTGGAGAGGCCCATTAGATGAGAAGCACACACCCTGCGACATTGAACAAATGCGTTGGGTTCATACCAAGGAAATGCCTCACAAACCAGGCTCTAGCTTACATTTAGCGTAAGGTGACTCATTTGTTCTGGTAAAACTGAGAACACAGGGCTACGATGATCCCTTTCAGAGACCTCAGAGTGGCTTAGATAAAAGTTTACTTCTCGTAACTTCGACACAATTGTGTTTATGTCGAAATGTTGAGCAATTTCTGCGGCCTCGAAAAACCCAAACTACCCAGTGTTCTCCGCTTCGACCGGCGTCAACGGAGATGCTAACATTCAAATGCTAATGCTAACCACACTTTGACATCTCTTCTCGCCATGTTTGTCAACTAATTCGTAAACAGACAATACAAAACAACATGTACAGACTGGAAACGTGTTTACATTGGTCACACATACATTTTAGTTGAAGATTTTCACCAGTATCGACTACGCACCGCCATTACGTATTAGCAGGAAGACAGGAGGCTAGTGTGGTGAGCTAGCGCTAACATAATCGAGGCATTATCTTACCTTTTGAATCCGTTTTAAGGCCATTCTGTTGATGTATTTTTCTGTTATTTACAATAGGTGGCAAATATAATATGCCAGGGTAAATCTGATCAAAAATGAATAATTGACAGTGTTGGGTAAGTCCCACGGCCTTTCTACACAATGCGGAGAGTTGGTTCTTCCTCTAATCCCGGTGGTAAAAAGCGTCCAAAGAATTCAGAGATTTTCACTTTCAGGACAGAAACGCCAAGGCCTCGATCACGCGTAAGTATTTCCCGTAAATGCCAGCTGGAGTTACCCGGGCCACGAAGAATATCCTTTTGCTTTTTGTGCCTGATAGCCAACTAGCGGCGGACTACATGTATTTGAAGGTTTGTGGAGAGGCGAGGGCGGGCCCAGTCTCTGTGAGTGATGATCTGTGATGGCAGATTGGCTACAAGCCCGCTGACAAAACAACACACCAGCCCCAACATGTCAGCATTTAATTAGACAAGACAACACTGCTTTACAGGGTCAAGAAATAATGTATTTCACCCATTATAGATTTCATTTTAAATAAATTAATAGTAATAATGAAACTAAAAAGAAACAAAAACAAAACAAAAAAACATCACAAACTATGTTACACATCATGTGACTTAGTAGAGGAGACAAAGCCTACTACATTTCTACGTTTTTATTTCTGAGATGGCAGTGGCACAAAGGCTATATTTATTTTTAGTTAAGTTATTTGATCTAAAAGCCAATTTATATTATTAAAAAATAATTATATACAATTATATATAATTAAATCATATTTACTCTTTGTTCATGTCATTTAAAATGATATATATTACACCATAGCCTCTTCAATGGATGGAAACTGCATCATTAATGAATTAATGTAGCTAACTGGATACTTGGTAAATGTGATAACATCTGCATTCTAGATTATGGACCACAGAAAACCAGGTAAAAAGAATGAACAGATTAGGGCTGTAATCCACGGTGGAGTCATTCGTGTAATGTGCCTGTGGAGATTCCTGGTTATGCACCTGCTCAAAGTCACAACTGTCAGAAAACTCAATGATAGATGAGGCAGGCTACTCATGAAATTTGGTTTTAGGATCCTCACATGTTTTCTAAAGCTTTAGCAAATTGTCTTTGTCAGTACTATTTTGAATGAAATACTTATAATAGTTAATATTTGTTTGTTTTTTCTGGACAAAACTGTTCAGGGCCCACATGTCACAGTGAAATTTTGTCTGGGAGTAAAAACAGATTCTGATTAGAGGCAAATGTCTCTACAAAGAAGTAGAAATAGCTAAAAATAGACTTTCTCAAACAGTTTTTTTTTTTTTACACAAAAAACAAAATGAGCTTACAGGGTTTTCACTTTAACAAGGGGCCCCAGTCTTCAATCTATTGTTACTTTGTTGTAAAAAGGTGCACATTTGCACATGGCTGATTGAATTCAAAGAAATAAAAAAAATAATAATAAAAATCTTTGATGAAATGTAAAAAATATTTTGTAAGTTAAGAAATCACATAAGGGCCAATATTTGAGTAAATATGCTTCCCTTAAACAAATTGATTTTGAGAATGTTGGTGCAACTTCCCTGTCTTATTAACAATATTGGGATATTTTGACATAATTATTTATTTTACAAATTATGTACAATTGTTCAACAGAGAATAATTTTAATCAGCTGAGCCACAGGAAAGCCCTGTATCTTGATTATTGGACAACAAATCAAAAGTCAAAGTTGTCAAAAACATGGCAGTAATGACTAGTATCACTTCAAGGCCTGTACCATCTACATGAATCTGGAAGAATACTACCATCTGTAATGACAACAATTTATGCATGTTCATGATTTTACATCCCAGTGTCCTTTTGGTCGTAATTGTATTGATTTTAGTTCAAATCTATTCATTTAGTGGGCAATAAAATATGAAGCAACAATTGAACTTGGACCAGGGCCAAACCAGAACTATAAAAAGCAATAAAACTGGTCTAACCCTTGACAAACCAGTGCCAAAAATGATCCGATGACTAAATGAGAGGAATCAGGACTGAATCAGGACCAAACCAGGACTAAACCAGGACCAAGTGTATGACCAGTACCCTCTATACTAAAAGAAGAATACACAAACATTCATACACTTGATTGTTTGACAGAAGAAGGCAGATGTGTTGTCTTCCCAATACAAGCGATACCTCACCCTACAACTCCCTTCAAGGCACTAAAGGGGATGTCCTGACATACCTGCAGGACAGGTTTTACGTTTTTCTAAGCATCCCAAATATTTTCTGTCAATATTAGCACCCTCAAGTTCAGTTATGAAGGGCTCTCTCATCATAAACACTAAAAAAAAAGGCAGTTGGCTGTTAGAACTCAAATTAAAGACCAGCTTCACTTGCAGATTCACCATTGTTAAAGTTTACCTTTTGTGGCACTGAAATATTGCTCTTTTTGTGTTCATCTGTAGTACAACTATAACTACTTTCCCCATTCATTATTTCAGAAGTCAGTTGTAAACTTTGTGCATCTCCAGATCCTTCATTATTTTGTATGGGATCACAGGCCGTTACATCCAGCTGATCAGCAGAATTACTTGGGCTGATAAAACCATCAAACTCTCCACTTAAGCTGAAGCGTAGACCTCTTGAATCCATTTTATTTTCACCTGATTGGTCATTTTCATTCTCATCTTCAACAGGCTGGTCTTCTAAAACAGTTTCTGTATCATTTTGTTCATCTGGAGCGTTTAAATCTTCTTGTTCAGCTAAATCAGCTTCTCCAGCTAAATCCTCTTCAGCTAAATCATCTTGTTCAGCTAAAACTTCTTGCTCAGCTAAATTACCTTCTTCAGCTAAATCAGGGGCATTTTGAGGCGTTGCATCTGGGGGAGCTTCATCTGTGCCCTGGCTATTGTCGGCCATTTTGGGTCGAACCGCCTGGTGACACATTGGACATGTCTCTTGCACATAAAGCCACTTTCTGAGACAGTTTCCATGGAAGAAATGCCCACAGTATGTGATGACAGCAGCGTTCATTTCCTGTAAATACACAAAAGAAAACAATATGAAACTATATTTTTTTAAAGGTGCGCTATATAACTTTTTGGTAACCTTTGACAGACCCTCCACCTGAAAAGCTATATTTATAGAGCTTGAGATGAAACATCAAGAAAGACAACAGTTACTGTGGAAATCCTTATGTTTCTGGCAGTAGTGCAAAACACTCACAGAAGCACATTAGCTAAAACAACTTTAAAAAGTACCGGCATGCTAAATCTTACATTCAGCTCCTTAAAATCTTCATTAGACAAACTGAATATTCTGACGATGTGTGACGCCACAACCCAAGCTCTCAGGTGTAGATAGGATCTTTGCTCACTTCAGGTATTTGGTTACCACTTCCCTGACAACAAACCCGTCATCAACAGTGTCAAGGCCAAGCATACAACATACAAACATTACTGACATCAGAGTAATTTGCCTGAGGGCTACAAGAGAAAATTTCACTAAACTAAACAGGAAAGACCAGATGGACAGAAATAAACATCATGTAAAGTGTTACAGTTTCTACTATATACTATTTTGGAAAACTCACATATCAAAGTCTAACTGTCTATGTGGACAGGGCAGCATTGAACTAGTTTTTATTGTTCTGAATAAAATTACTTGAACATGTTAACATATCTTCACAGTTGAGTGCACTCCAATTCTAATTAACAAAATCCAGTTATGCATATACTGTATGTTGAAGAATAAATTAGAATGATTAACAAAGCCGAGCACATGTGAACATATTGTGGATATTTCTGAAACCTTTGGTGCTCAAGTACAAAATTCTGTGTTTATTTGGCAGCATATTTATTTTATTTGGCTGTCAAGAGTTGTTTGTTTTGCCAAGATTATATAAACCACTGAATACTTATGAAAGCACTATCCTTGCCCTTTGGAAAAAAAAAATGGCATGCCAAAAACTTGGGCCACGTCAACCAGCTCAAATTTTAAATGATCACAGGTTTTAAAATAAATCTTGTAATAAAACTATTATTGGTCAGGGCTCATACTTCTCACCCATTTCACTCTTAAAGGGCCTGTATCACACAAAATAGATTCCCATGAGCTTTAAGCCATGTTATAATGTTGTTACCTCATAAAAAACTTGTTTTCTGGTTGAGAGAAGAGCTTAACCTAAATATGCAGGGTTTGTATGTTAAATATGTGTGAATGAAACAAAACACAACTCCAGGTATATTTTTGATGAAGAACTAAGATAGATCACAAAATTGAGTAATATGGGCCCATTAACTGTCTTGCTTAATTTTGTTACTATTAAAAATATTGGGGGACTATTACAACATTTTGTCATTACCTGTAATAATTATTCTCAGTAATTAAAAGTCATATAAATCGGTGGTGAAACCTACATGTAAAAACACTGACACACAAATACAATATAGAATCCCAGAATTAAAGTGCATCTGAAAACAACCAGCGGTACATAAGCCCACCTGGAAACAGATAGAGCAGACATCGTTGTGCCTCTCCAGCTGCTCTGTGGTGGCTTTGGGGAGAGAGTTGATCTTCTTTGCTGCTTCCTGTCTCAGTAGAAAACTCCTCCATCCTGACTGCGCTCTGAGCCATACGTTAAAATATGAGTGAATGATGATCACAGAGGCGCCCATCCAACTCCACTCCCCGAAAAGAGACTCCCAGGTCCCATAGGCGACAACGCAAAGGGCCACCACGAACTCCAGCACACGGCTCACGGCGTTCACCCAGTAGATCACCTCATCCAGGCTCTCGATCGGATCACTGCGGAACAGCTCCACCATAAACAGGGAGTAGATCAGCATTGTGCCCGTCACCTGTATAACAAGAAATAATGGGGTTTTACTTGTATTAAAAATAAGTGTGAAATCTAATGGTATAAATTCCATAATAAACAAGAATCACAACACAGTATCTTCAAAGAGAAATGTATGGCATTTCCAGAACAATGAATGAACTAGTAGGGAAATTGTATACTGTTTGGATAAAAAAAAATATATATATATATATATATATTATTAGGTTTTGTTTATTTGTCTATTTTGTTTGGATTATATGAGAGAGATATACTTTATTGATGCAAGGGAAATTCAAGTTTTGTTGCAGCCAAATTTACACAAATACTTAATATAGTGTTTCCCATTAACAGAGATTATGGTAGCCCCCCATAGTCGACTTTTCACTTTCATACTTTAAAAACTAGTTGAGCCTAAACAAAAACTGGTAAAACAAATGTTGCTTTATGCTTGTAGAATTAAAACCATAAAAGCAACTATTTTTATCTGTAATCAGTGCTTTGTTCAGTAGAGGCAATAAGTGATATTTATGTACTAAAATATAGTATTCAGTAAAATTATTCAAATATAGATCGCTTGCGCTACCACATTTTTATTACAAACCTGTGGGAAACACTGTAGTATAAGCCTCAGTCAGTGTAGTTAATCCCACCCATACCATTATCATCTCAGTTCATACCTGAAGTGAAGTGAGCATGCAGCTGGACACTAGGATCAGGAGCCAGAAGTCCATGTGGAAGAACTGGGAGATTTTGTAAGCCATAAAAATGGGGAACACGAGGAGGAGGAGGCACATACTGAGGCCTCGGAAGTGCTTCCAAAGACTCCTATAAAAAAAATTACCAACTATGATAATATCACTCAAATTAACATGTTTATTTGCTCAGTTACTGTAATGGTGGTGCGTTGCAGTATTCCTATAAAAGCTTTCCTAAATACAGAGTAAACCAGTATGAACCCTGTAGAAGACCAAAAACTAAACCAGGAATCTAAATATAAAGCGGCAAGATTTAACTAAGAACAACAAACCACACCATGAAAAAGTTATTACATTTTTTTTTTTTTTCAAATTGGGTCGATTTTGGATTTTAATTAGATATTAAATTTTACATACAAAAAATAAAGTCTCTTTCAATTATGTTTTACACAACCACAAAGTATACTATAACTTCTTTAAATACTGTAATAAGACTAAGCACATGGATTGATTAATTTTAATTTACAATTAAAGGTGCATTGTGTACCTTTTTGTTGGAGAGTCCATCAAACGCTTTTCTCCATGGAGATGTTACTGTTTTGTCAGGAAAGTTTCATAGTATGGAATTAAACTTTTCTATCATCATGGAGAACAAACCAGACCATTACAAGTCAGAATGTCTGTTTTAGGTATTTTTGAGCTATAAAAAACCTGCAGTTTAATAAATGTAAGGTAGAGCTGTTTGATGTCATACTGTGGAACATTCCAGGCCGGACAATGCCATATCCGTAGAAAGAAGCAGGTGACGGGCCAAAAAACATTACATAGTGGACCTTTAAAGGCACATTTACAGTACTTTTCATACCTGTTGCGTGAAGCTCCAAGAGCTAAAATAACAGGATCAGTTATCTCAATCATGGATTGCAGAGTGGACGTGATGACGATGAAGAGGATGATGCTGAGGAGGAAGGTGCGTTGAAGAGACTGCATGTCCAAAAGACCCGTTTGAAGAGCAAGAAGCAGCAAAGTCACACCCTCTGTCACACCTCTGTAAGATCAAATAAGATGGATACACAAATATTAGTTACACAGTTAAACAGTTACATAAACATACAGCAACTGACACTACCTGCAATGAGTTACTGAACCATACTTTCAGATTGAAATTACAAAAAGTGCAGATAAGATAAGTTTATTCAAATTTTATTCAGTATTTATTCAACAATTATTTCTTTCTTTTATAATGTATACATATGTCACAATATTATTACAAATTCAATATATTGCCTACCTCTATATAAGTGCATAATAATTAACATTGTATATTATCATTTCTGATCAATACAAAATCTGATCAGATTGTTTGAGCTGGATATTTAGGATAGATTTTTATTATGCAAATAAAATAAAGAGTAACATTTAATCACAAGCAAAACTGTAAAAATACAATATGGACACTGAGTGGTTACTAGAATGAATGGCTTTGAACGTGATAATTACAAGCTAAATTTTACAAATCTATACTAACACAAAGGGACATTCTCTTTACCTGTGCATGACATTCTCATTTTGGACAGCAGCGTATCCTCCCAGGTAGAATTTGCATAGGTTTAGAAGTCCCAGGGCCAAATAAGACACAACAAAAGTCAGACCGAGCAGCGAGTATGGTGTGGCACAACACTCAGAGACACTATAAAAAGAGTCAGTAACACAACAATACATTTATAGAGTGAAATATATTATGATGACAGTAGTTTTGAAACATTTACTATATAACAAGTGATACCTCAGAAAAAAAAGGGTTAATCTAGTACTAAATCTAACTAGAAAATATAAAATATATGAATCTAAATCTGGATGACAGAAAGATTAGCCTATTCAACACTACAAACCCATGACTAAACCATGATTATGCTGTATGAAACAAAATCCAGGTTGAAAGCTATACTGAAAAGAATGAAGGACTTACCAAGATCTATACTGCACTATCATGACAATTCATGGGCTTCAGTGTCCTGTTTAAAGACGCCATTTTTCATCCGTCAAAAGATATAATATTTAGTTTTGAATTATTAATTGCTATGGTGATGGTGCAAATTGTTTATCACTCTTAAAACCATGGATCGGTCTTCACAAGAGCTACTACACCCAGAACAATCTAATACTAATCTAGAACTAAACCAGGATAAAACAGTAGTAGACATATTATCTATAGATCTTCTTTTACATAAAACTAAAACAAGATTTAAAAAGCATACAGTCTCTGAGGTGCACCACTTACACTGAGTTCACAGTTTGAGAGACACTGGTCTGCTCAGTGTAATTAAATCCGACCTTGAGAGCAGGAAGAAGATGATTCCCTGATGACTCGTCGACACATTGCCAGAAAAGATGTCGGAGCCGAGCTGGACCACAAATAAAACGAACCAGAAGACACTGAAGAGGACGGGCACAGCAAACTGCATCCACAGGGAGATGCCAACTGCCATAAGTCTGTACAAGTCAATTACCTAAAAATTACAGGACAGAAAATTACTAAATCAATCACACCACTTGTTTATGTGGTGGTGTAAGTCTGTCACGATCAATGCTTTATCGACTTATTGTACAATACATGAAAGATGGAACAATATTTTTTGGTGTCTTTTTCTTTGTATTACTGGGATGTATTTTGCTATTTTTTGGCTATACAATACGATTTAAGCTGTAAAAGGTTGAATAGACAACTTCTATGACTCATTACGATAGCAAAATAAGTACTAAAGAGTTTCATTTTGCTATTTATGTATTGCAGCTCATATATTTTTTTAAATGTTGTAGATTTAGAATAGCTTTTGTGGTTTAAACCTGCTCTTGGGTTTTTGTGTCAGTGGCATAAATTAGTTCCTATAATATTGTTTATTGTCTATATTTACTTCAGCAATATATCACACTTGAAAATGTGTTATTGTGACAGGCCTATGTGGTGAGTTTGTTTGTGATGGAGACAACTCCATTGTGTTTTATAATTACATCAACAACTACTGTCATTGAACTAAGCCTCCTATCTTACAGCATGCTTCCATCCATAGATCACTTATCTGAGCATGTCCAAACATGGGCTGTCCCTCCCATCGATCCTAAAAAGGATATCTATCGACTAAATAATTGCAGCATTTGTGATTTCCTGATGGCTACTATTTAATACTATTCAAATCAATCAATCTTTTAGCCCTACCGTCTTGTTTTTTCACTAATTTTTAAACTTTTACACTGCTGCATTCTTCTTGCTTGTATCAATTTTCCATACATCTGATACAATATGTTAATAATTAGCTATCTTAATAAATTGGCCTAAAAGTTTTTTAGTAACTGTACCTCTAGTTGAAGAAACTCTGAGTAGGCTGCTCTTGCAAGTCCATAGGGCACAAAAAGATGTGAAAGCAGAAACACAGCGATGCCTGCTCCAGTCAGCCCCATAGAAAAAGTATTGACCATGAGCAGAGTGGCGTGAGGGACAGCGCATAGACGAGCCAGCAGGGGGAGCATGTGGGCGGAGAAAATCCACACCTTTCTAGTCTTCATTAGGAAGGCACACAACGTACTGAGGATAATCTGACCTGAAAAAGACACAAAAAAAACAAGGTAAAATAGTATATTATATCAGGCATACTGTACAACACAAATAACAGCATAGAAGAAAAGTTCACTGAGTAACTTTTCTGGTGGAGGGTACACCACTGGCTTGTCTCCATGGGGACGTTAAAGTGAACCATTTAATATTCACACACACAAAAAAAAATATTTAAACCTTTAAAGCATTCATTTGTTTAACATGTAAATTGTGCTATTTATAAGTAATTGTAAATATAAATAAAAAACTAAGAAATATATCAGTGCATCTAAATAATTACAATAACAAGTAAAATATAATTTATAATATGGTTTCTGTACACTATTTGTGCAATGTGTTTCAAAATAACACAAAATTTTACCTTTCCCAGAGTTTTCTTGAAGTGCTGTATACACATGGTAAAGCTTTGGAATTTATAGGGAAAAATGTCTTACTTACTTGTGAGCGCTGAGACAAATCTGTTGAAGGCCAGAGAGTTGAGGTACACGGCCCCTTCATAACCAAACTGCAGCTCCTCTCGAACGTAGTCCCTGAATTCACACAGGATTATTAAAAATGTAAGGATCTTATTTATTTGAGATTATGTAACCTAAAACCTTTAATAGTTTTGTCCCAGTTAGACAAGATAGGACAATAAATATGTTGTGTATTTTTTTATTTATTTATTTTAAATCCAAGGAATAGGAAAATCTCACTTGGAAATCTGATGGCCCATGTATAGGAGCAGAGCAGTGAGGATGTGGAGGTAGAGCGTCACAATGTGTCTGAGGGGCAAAATCAACACCACAAGGTTCACCACATGACCTGAAAGAAAGATAATATTAAGAAAGAGAATATATTAATGAGGAAGAATTATATCAAAGACAGTATTCATTAAAATTTTTTTTGAATTGAGTAGCGCAGTTTAATAACCCTTGGACCACTTTCTTTTCCTCCTTTACATATTATTTTGATTTCAAATGATATTAAGTAGGGTCATGGTTTCAGTGCAAAGGACTTTGTATTCCCCTTTATGAATGCAAGTGTGAATGGTTGACTGTATTTGTCTATATGGTACATAAACCGAAATTTGTTGCATACAGTCATTCTGTATGTGACATTTTCCAATGACCCATGGATACTTACCAATGTAGTACAAGTTCCAGATGACATATTTGTATTTAAAAAGCATGTCTTCATTTTTGGCTTTGAGGTGCTCCGTTAAGCCTTCAATATCACATTTGTAGAGCAGGTCAAGCACCAGGATACTGGGCACCCTGAGAGCCACGTTGGCCAACTCCTCCAGTCGGGGCATCCTGAAACTGGCTTCAAGGAAACCATGCAAATCTGGGTCACATGACTTTCACAGGAGGAGGACGGAGGAGCAGAAGGGTCTGAACTACAGTACTGTCATCTGTAAATATCAATAAACAAAAGTTTGATTAGTTACGCATGCCTGCATATCAAAACTGTAGTAGTAGACACTGATTAACATGAGGAATCCAGGAGTGTTTATTTACACTGCAGAAACCAAAAATGCCAATTTAGTTGCCTATTTATTCCCATATGTATTCCAGCTATATAGTGTAAGACATAAGTCAGAAATTACACCCTACATAATGTGTATGCAGAAGTGGGAAGTAGTTCTGATATGTGGAGTGTGTCTGATATGTGGACTCAAGTTAATACAAATAACAACTACATTAGCAAATTAATAAAGGATGCATAAAGCTCTGTTGGACTGGATTACACGCACATGTGGTAAACCCAATGTGTCTTTGCATGCTTTAGTAGCAGAAAGGCAAGCTGTGGGTGATTGAGCCATCGTTACATGCACACATGTGCCTAATAAATGATTGTAACCAGTTATTATGTTCAGCCAGAATTATATAATGAAATAAATGAATGAATGACATATGAAAAGATGCACTTACTTTGCACAGGATACGTGTTCACCTCCGCACAGCCATTTGCTACTAGCACGTAACAGCAGAACACTTTTCAGATCGATCCACCCCATGTTTTCATAGCAATGCAAGAAAAATTTACTGATTTTTTATGACGCCAGTTCCTAATTAATATTTCTTAATGTCAGGGACATTGAAACATGGCAAAAGAGCATGAAACGAAGCGATTTATAAAGAGTAAACCACGCCAAATGCAATGTTATGATTCCGCTTACTGGCGTGACACTTCCGCTGTACACGTCACACAAACTCACCAATCAGATTCTAGTTTTCTGCATTTCAAAATAAAGGTTTAACAAATTACTACTTTTTATCATGAAGTGTAGCGCTGCTGTACATTTATTTTCATATTTTAATTGAATTATTATTAACATTTTAGAATTGTATACCAATAAAACACGTTTAACAACAAATACTGATAAAAATTCAGAGTTTTGAACGATGCAGCATAAGCTCTTCTGCCAAAATATTGCAGAAACAAAATAATAATAAATAAATTATAAATAAATAATAAAATGTGTATAATTCCATAGGCCAACATTATTTACTGAAGACTGAACTCTCTTCCTTTTCAATCAGCCATCTGTGAAGCAGTCTAGTTTTCGACCAACCATGACAACTGTTGCCAATTGTTCACTAGGCTATTGTTGTGGTAGAAATAGATACAGAACCAGGTTTCAATGATGTCTTAAAACAGCAAACATTCTGCTGCAATTTCACACTGAGCACTCATAATAAACTTAATTGGCACTGTCATTTATCTAGTGTTTATTAGCCTTTGTATCATTGTATCTAATTTCATAATGGGGCCTGTAGGTCAGTTCACCCTGAATGAACTGCAAGGAGAAAAAGAAAAAAAAAATGGCCTAAAAGCACAAATTTTTCACAAATTTCCACAGGAGCATTGAGTTTTGGGGAGGGGGGTTCGGGGCCGGGCCGGGACCGCATGAGGAGGAGGAGGGAGGACTGTGAAAGCTCCTCTGGCTCCTCGTGCGCCCAGGATCTTTTTTCTCCTTTTCACTTTGGCTGCACACGATGAACGGGATGGAAAAGTCATTGTGCACATTAGCTGCAGCGCTTTTTCTGCTTTACTTGAACGCAGCGCTGATTCACGCTCAAAGGGCATCTACAGATAGGAATTCTTTATTAAAATCAACTCCAAAGCCTACATCTTCATTTAGACCAACAAAAGGGACGCAAACTGTCACTACTGTGAAGCCAAAATATGGAAAAGTCAATGCAACGATTGCCACAACACGAAAATCTGCAATCAAAACTACTACTGCGAAACCGAGCCAAGCGGAGACACGCAAACCTACCAAAGAACCCCCCAAAAAGGAGGATAAAGTCGCCAAAGCTGACAACACCCCAAAACTAGGTCAGTAAAACAAGAATTAATTTAAATACAAAGTCAGAGCTGCCTCTCTAGGGAGCAATAATGGCATGTATAGGGTTAATTAGTTTTAATAGGGAAATTACATGGTTAATTAACAGCGATGCCTTCACGGACTGTTAGACTTTTAAACATAATGGTAGAGTTTTAACATTTCAGCACAATATGGCAGCAAAAAGTTACATAATATTCACTTTACTCAGTCATATACAGCAGGCCTTGTCTAAATATCTCTCATAAATCAATGACTGCACTATATAACTTGTGTAAACTACATTATATTGCATATTTTTCTTTGCTGAAAGTTGACACTGCATGCTTTCCCACAGCACAACCCCGCTGGGATGATTAATTACTCGAGGCGTATGTATCTTGGCTTGGTTTGGTTTAAGCAGCTGGACAGTTCAGTTCACCATAGGCTTAATTAATGATACTGATATACATCCAAATCAGGGATTCTAAAGTTTGTGCTACACACTTTGGCACTGAGTCAGTTGCACAGTTTTGAGTAAATATTCAAAAACATCACTAATGTGGTAGATATGTTGTTATATGATATGTAGACCACACAGTGGCTCAAACTCTATAAATCTCTGACTCAAAATGCAACTCTGGCTTTGGCTGAGAAATTCAGATTATAGGGCCCATATTACGCTATTTTCTGTTATAATGTTGTTTCCTCATGAGAAACATACCTAAGTTGTGTTTTGTTTCAGTCACACATGTTTATCAAAGAAACTCCATGTAAAGGCTGTTC